GGGCTCTTTGACTGCCGCCCTTCTCTTTCCTCCAGCTCGCAGAGGGGAGTCCAGCTTTTATTCCGCCTCCCCGCGGGCGGCGGAGGACCTGGGATCCAGGCCCTTCCTTGAAGGGAGGTAATCCCACATCTTCCACCTCCCTCTGTGACACTGAGAAAGCAAACGCAGTCCCCGGAGCTAGGGCTAGATGATACAGTACCTAGTGCATGGCGCTAGGTGCAAGGAGGATGACCCCGCACTTTACCCAAGAGCTTCAGACATGGGCAAAAATATACATACAGGTGCGGTCCTAGGCGCAGGAGCCACAACTCACAGCTCCCGCCTTAAACACAGTAAGTGCTAACCACTGAGGGTAGCTCCCCGGGAAGGGGGAGGAGGGAGCAGCAGCAGGATCATGCAGAGATGCACAGAAGACGCTCAGCTTGCCCTCACAACTGAGGTAACGCGTACCAGATCAACTGTCTTTTTTTCCCATGTTAGCACATCAATTTGTTTCTTGGATCTGTACAGCTCCTACATGCATCCTGGCACAGGTGAGTGACTTAAAAAGGGTTTAAGAGTTATGATCTAGCTGGGTACTTGTCTTTCATTTTCCTTTCTCCCAAACTGGGCTAACCTCAGCGGGGAGCACGTAGAAACTGTTAAGCAATCAAATAGCTTCCTCTGTCTTATTATGCTTCTGTAACATTTAAGGTACCTGTCTTTTCCAGGCATCATAAAACCAAATTACTGAGCTAGATTTATTTCAGCTCAGTAATTTCTGAATTCAAAAATTCTCCAAGACTCCTTGTCTCCAGTCTAAATACAGAATAAGGGGAATAACATGCAAGACAAGAGGCCTCCTGTTCTCAATGCAATCTCAGGACCTAGCGTGCAGTCCTCTGCTTTGTCTTTTAAAAGCATTCATTCCCTCAAAGGCCGGGTCCACACAGCGCATAAAGCTCCGCCTGATACTATCAGAGGTGTAGTGCGGGTCTCTGCAGTTGGGCTTTCCTCATGCACATCGGTATGAGAGACCGCTGATGCAAGGCACCTTCCTGGAAGAGAGGCACCTGCAAACTGAAGGATAAGTGACCACAAAGAAATCCCCTGAGTGAGGTTTGTCTCCGAGAGCTAAAATATGGGTTTCTTCTCCTGTGAGAGGTTACACAGCAAAGTGACACGGGCTGCAGAGTTTTAAAGACACCAATGACTCTAAAGAGCCATCTCTGAGTCGGTACTGACTGAGGCTAGGGGTCAGTTTATGTTGCTTCACAAAGCTGGTGGCTACTCTGGATAAGACTATGGCCATGCCTGAAGTTCAGGAGAAACAGTGAAAAAGAGAGGCAGGGAACACATCAGGTCCTTCAGTCGCTGAGGCCATACCAGTTACTCAGAGCTATAGCTCAGCTGTTTGGTTACACATGTTCCTGCTACTGCACAACGAGGCAGTGGCACAGGCTATGAACCGAGTGAGAGGAGGTGCTGGTTTTGACAGCCGCTCATGTCTTTTTCATCTCCAGACTGCATTAACCTGCAAGACGCTCTGCACAATCACACGTACCCTTGCCAAAGCTACATATGGTCACCACCTGATCAACAATACTTCCCATATGGAGCAAACCACTGGGACCCACAGGCTGCTTCAAGTCCAGAGTTGACTCTTATCATTACACGGTTCAACGTCTGGGCATTCTGCAGATCTTGTCTGTTTTTGCAGGCTTTTCACCAGCAGACTGAGTTCAGACATAAGACATTGAACAGTACTTGGGGGGAAGGAGAGAGGGTGTCCTTAGAAGAAGCTAATCATAGTGAATGAGAAGTACGATGCTTCCTTGAAATCTGCACAGCAACTACTGTCTTCTCTGGACACTTGGTTACATTAAAAGAAAAAAAAAATAGATAAAAGCCAGTGACCCACCGAGATGCATACTGGCAAGTTAGGCTAAAAGGGAGCCTGAGGTACCACTAGAGAGCTGGCAGACTACTGTTGGTGCCACAGGATACCAGGCAATTTTTAAGACCCATGATGCTGTAATTCTCCTGTAATCTCCTGAAATCTTTGCAGCTTGCAAGCATGTTTCAGTATTCGAAGGTGAAAACATGGAAAATTTGACTGAATATCTGTAAAGGCATCTTAAACAGGGAAGTAGTTTCTTCCTTGGACACTGCTCACATTTCTTGGCAAAAGGAGGAGTTTGGGGGAAACCATGAGAACAAGAAGAAAATCCATAAGAAATGAGGCAAAAGAGTAAGAGGGAGGTGCATTTGCGCCCAGCTTTGTTGCAGCTGAAACACCCTAAGTCAAAGCCACATCCCTTCACTTTTGTGATGTGATTCAGCCACATGCCCTCCTGCACTAGCCTGCCTGGGCGCAATACAACGTTTACCTTGTGTGCATCTTAGAGCATTACACAGTCAACGTTAAGCTGCCCAGTCACCTTTCTGACCCCACAGAGAATAAGCTGGCATGAGTGATAACCGGTCTCGACAACCACAGAAACTGTAGTCTGACACGAGCTGTGACCCAGCTTTTGTTTCCACCCCCACGCAGTGCGTCTCCTCACACAGTCCTTTGCCAAAGACTGTGCACGGAGGATATAAGTGAGATCCCCTCAGTAGTGGTGGGGGTGGGGGGGGGGGGGGGGGCTCCAGCTCCTGCAGCATGCAGCTAAATACCATGCAGCCTTTTTCTATTGCACAAATAAAACCTCACTCTTATTCCTCACTGATCAGACATGCTTCTGTGGTAGGTGGCATCACTGACATGAAATAACTGAAGGTTTTATCTTGTGGCTTGTAGTAGCGAGGGATTTCGTTTGTATAATGATTGCTGAGGGAGCGTATTTCAAGTGAATGTTGTACAGTCTGCGTTGGAATCTAATTTGAAATTGTAATAATTTACTTCTAGTCCTTCCTCCAAGGGCTATCCTCAGCCAGTCGGGGAACAGCAAAACACCACGGGAATAACGCCGCCACTCAGAACGGTGCAAACTGTGAACCTGCCCAAAGCCACCCACTACTCACAGAAGTTAGTCAGTGGACTAAGGCTTCAGAGAGCGTGTTATTCAAGAAACTCCAGTCTAATGTTAAATAAAGCAGAAACAAAAAGGCGCGCCTTTCTTCACTTTTCATCTAAATGGCACTAATTATTTGTCCAGCTGTTTCTTGTTACCTTGGTTGTACGTGCAGCAAGCAGGTCCTACGTTTTTAAAGATTGTTTTAGGTTTCATTCTTAGAAGGTCCAAAGTATACAGACAAACCCACTTGCCTGCCATATGAAAACAGAGTGCTTCACTATTGTAGCGACCCAACTGGGAACCAAAAAGCATCTGTACATAAATATGAAAAGTTAATAACTGTAATAAACAGTGCAGGTGCTTCAGCAGAGCAGGCAAATAAATAAGCGAGGAGGAGACTAATACTGAAGTTATACCCAGCACACCAGGAAAGCAGAAAGAGCCTGTGTCACAAACGGCAGCCTCCCGAGGCAGCCAGCGCAGCGGGGATTAGCCGTGACGTCAGTACCTTTTCCCTTTCTCAGAAGGGACTGGGCTTAGAAGAGGTTGAATAAGATGCTGTACTAGATCTGAATGAGTTATTCCCTCTGCTAGTCCTTGGTGCAAAGTTCACCAGGCAATACGACATGCTAGAGAGACACCACCGTGGCTCACATCTGCTTTGGGTAAAAAGTCTGTAAGAATCATGAGGACACCACACTGATCACAGATGGAAAGTAAAGGTTTCCTTACCTATTGCAAAGCTTTACTTACCTAGCGGTAAGCTAGGTACCACGCTAGAGCAAATCTCCCAGATTTTCTATACTTAACACAGCACAGGCAGGAACGTGCTTGCTACAAGACGTATGACCCGATTCAACTCCTCTTACAGCCAACGATGCCTTGGTACTGTAGGCAAATAAACTGCTCTGGAAAAACCACAGTTATCAGGTAACGTATCAACACCCTGTCTCCAGTTACATTAGAAAAAAAGAAAGTGTCACAATACTAGAAGGTAGCAAAAACAAGAGAGAACAAGAGAGGAAATGTTAGAATCAGGAGTGCTCTTGTAGCTCTCATCCAGCCTCTCTGCAGTGCCTGGATTAGGGTCATCTAACACACAAACACATACTTTTGCCACAGAAGCCCTGCCTCATTCTCTGCAGCGGATAAAAAGCACTGACAAAACAGGCAGCTAGTTCAATACTGCGTTTGCTTGCAGCGTTCAACGCAGTTTTACATACCGTGCAAACCCAGCACTGAATAAACAAATATTAATTCTTTACAAGTTCTGCTATGACATTCCTAAACAGAGCATCTTCTGAGGCAGCATTGCTCTCCCTTTGCACACTAATGAAAGCGCAGACACAAATATGAAC